CTATGCATTGAAAAAAGAATTGTTCATGCCGATTTGATTACGTCATTTGTACACTGCCTGGAGGGTAATCGGGCTTACACATTCAGTGTAAAAGAAACAAGACAACGTTTTTCATAGCTCCACAACGCACTGCGTGCCTGGCGACAGTAATTTCAGCTTAATTTAAACCCTAATCGCACTGCAAATGCGCCTTCGTATTCCGATAAAACCGGGTACTACAAATTGCCGCATACATTATGGGTGCCTTATTACATTTTATCACTTGGTTTTGAGTTTACAGATATGTTGCAACAACGGCACATTCATGTATCCTCCGGGGTTGTCAAACTGACCAAAGCAAGAGTAAAATGTGATCGGATCGGCATGCCTCGGAAGTATCTATTGCTTCTTCCGAGGGTGCGTGTATCATCTCGAATTCTTCAGAGTCTTGTATTGATGGAACCCTTTGTGGTACCTGAAGCAACTGCGTAACTTATGAACATATTTAGTTACACATCATGTCCGAGAGCGGATAACGCTACCATTCTGCGGAGTCAGTCAAGCAGTGTATAAAGTTTATCGTCACGGCGCTCGCCCTGTCTGTGCACTTTTCGTCGCTGGCTAAATTGAGCATGCACAAAAAAAAAATAAAAGCCGTTTACAAACCCCTGTAACGCCGAATTAGAGCGCAGCTCTTGAGGAGGAGGAGGGAAGGGTACTGAGGGGGGGGGGGGTATACCACTCCTCTCTCCTCCTCAACTCCTCATCCTGCCTGTTATTCCTCCCTCCGAGCGGCGTCGCCGTCGCCGTCGGCGTAACCGTGAGATCACGTGACCTACGTGACGTCGAGTGACCTTCGTGACCTCACGGGGGACACGTAACCTCACGGGGGTCACGTAACCTGATGGAATCACGTGACCTCACGGTGGTCACGTGACGCCATTGGGGTCACGTGACCTGACAGTTACGCCGACGGCGATGCCGCTCAAGCCGGAAACGGGTGCCTAAGAGCTGCGCTCTAGAAAGCTGAGGACCACGGTGTACTCAGTGTGCATGATTCGTACAGCCGGCGATCGAAAACGCACGGAAACCACGAGATCCGTTACGAAGAACTCTTGGCGCTGTTTCATAGGGTACAGCGTATCATAGAGTCGGCTAAGCTTGGACTTAGTGAGAAACATAACATAAAGTTTGGTGTTTTCGGTTTAAGTTGATAAACACCAGAACACTTGTGCCGAATTTATCTTTTCAGATTTCGGTTTTAAGTTAAGTAGATCAATGTATTAGAGAGAATAGTACGACACTCGTAATATGGGTGTCTTTTTCTTACTTCCTCTTTCTTCTTCTGGGGAGGGGGGGGGGGTGTTGTTTTGTAATTTGGTGACAGACTTTCTTATTGGTTGATGCTTACTTCCGGATCGACCCATGTTATGCTGAAGACGGTTAAACAATAGAAATATATTTGGGGTATGCATTGCTCCCTATTTGTGATCGGGCTTTGTGCACCAAGTTCTTCAAAAGGCAAGAACGAAAATACAGTATACGAACTTAGGTTCAATGTACGTGCCGCACATATCCCAACCCTACCCCCACCACAAAAGAGAACAAGAAACGATCACCTCTTATGGATAACTAATTGTAATAAACCTATACATTCAATGTTTAGGTTTATCAATAAAAAACGGAAAAACTACGTCGAACTTTGAAAGAATAAAAACCAAAAACGACAAATCTTAGTTATTGTTAGCGTTTCGTGTTTCGAGGGTTTAACCTTCTTCGGATTCGGCAAGTTTTGCTTGGGGGAGGGGAAAAGGGGGGAGTGCACTTGTTTGTGTTTATTATTGATGTCGGACAAAATATCGACATTTAGCGCGTTTTGTAAATAAAAACAAGACCGGGGTGGTGAAAGTTCCATACCTCTACATGGCACGCGGGCAATACAAATAAAGTTTAAAAAAGTTCACTTACCGACAACTGAAAGAAACAAGAAAACGGCTGAGATAATTTAAGAGAGGGCAACCTCCTGGACAGTTCAGTGTTGGTTGTGTTCTGAGTAAACTCAAAATAAGCCTGCAAAAAAAAAATATTTTGCCATTTTTGTTTTATTTGCTGACACCTACAAATACGTGCACACCGAATTCACTTGGATTTTATAAAACTCAATCTTGGGCTATTTTTCAAGGTTTATCGGCATTAACTGAAAAATAACTGAATTCTTATTGTGAAGTACGAGTAATTTACATTTTTGGACGTGCCGGGTTGGTTTCGTATGACGGGCACGAATCCAGCTCTCACACGAACTCCTGTAATCACCTGTTCTTTGAATCCCGACATTGAAGTCGCCGCATATGATTAGGGGCATATCGTGGTTCCCGGAGTTTATGCAAGAGTAATTCGAGATTGTCTTGCGGAACTGACCTCGCATGTCCACGACCTTGAGCAGAAGCTGTAGAGTCATGCATGGTCTTAATTAATAAAATAACAGTACGCTTCGCCTTATGCGAGAGGTTCTCGCGCTGCGGTCGTTTACGTGAGCTTTGTCATAGGATACCTTAGAGCGAAGAGCCGAGTCTTATTATATCCACTACGCTATATATTTGCTCCTGCGTTAGGTCGCCACGTTATACATTCACTGCGCTTTCTGTTGGTGCGCTGCAAGATTAGAAAAAAAACGCGGATTATAGCATCAGCCCTGTTGCCTTCACAAGCCATCTTCGCGTGTCGCTGGCCTCTTTCTGACCCTTGTCGCCTATTCTTTTTGCACATAAGAACCACACGTCACGCTTCAATGATTTCATAATTGCGTGTAAGAACTGAGTGGCACCAGGTTATACCATGGTTCTGCTCATTATCGTGGGAGCAGAGTGCGCATGCTGCGTTTTAATGCGAAAGCATTAACTGGTCCCATGGAGCGAATCCGGCGTTGTTTGTAACCGTCTGTAGCAGCGAAACGGCAGTTAATTTCCCATTGGCAAAAAGCACGGCAGTTGAATTTCCATTGGCCAAAAGCAGGGCAACCCAGATGGTCCGTGATGGAAGCCGGCGGAGCGCTCAAGGCCAAAGCGAACGGGCCTCTGAAAAAAAATATATATATATATATTGCAAAGCACGGCAACGGAAATGCATCGTCACGGAAGCCCTGGAGGTGGCGGGGCTCGCGGGTACTGCGCAGTGGGGGAGCGTGATATCACCGCCGGAGTGCATATGGCTCCATTGTAACGGCGTCATCGTTTCTAAGCATCCAGCCGAACTGCAGGCGCCGCAGCAGGAAGGGGGGACGCCGCAGCGCCGTGTGCAAAAGGAAATCGTGTCGCGCTGCTTGTAGGAATGCGCTGCGTGTAGGAATGCTTTCGAAATCCTACACGAAAGCAGTCTTCAGTGTCCACTTTAGTCTTTTATTTCGGCGTGTTACCAATAATAAATTCAAGAAATTGTGTATTTTTACACTCCGTTACTATCGTGCAAGTGGATATCAGAGTTCCTGCGATATGTGCGTCCTTGTTGAGCTTAGAAATGTGTTTTGTATCTATAGAAATTTAAATAGTTACGAATTTTCACGGTGATTATTTGGTACACGCCCGCGTGAAAGGTTGTGTGTCGAGAGGGTACCCAGAGAGCTTTACAACACAATTGCGAGTGCTTTGGACGAGTGCGAGTGCTTAAACTCAGTGTATGGCTTGAGCCATACAACTGAGTTTAAATAAGGCGCGTATTAATTTGTATCCGGAACAACGTAAGACCAATACAGTTTGACTTGGCAGGAACACACGTAAAGCTTGCGCGACTTTGAGAGTCATCAGGTGAGAAGCGGATGAAACTCAACTTCGACTAGGTCGCGACCAAGAGCCGGTTTTTATAGTTTGCGCGGCTCAATGGTTCTCGGAAGTCTAAGAGAACCTTTTACAAGTTAACGTTATTGAAAAGTTCAAAACGTAATCCGTGAAGGACACGCCCGCTAAACGTAACTCCATGCGGAATGGTTCTGCAGTTGCTTACACTGCAAAGCCCTATCTCGGTCTCGGCGTTGCCACACAAGTTTGTCTATTCAAAGTTCTAAGCGTATCGGTTCGTCCACTGGTCGCGGTTCATTGTCTACCCACCAGAGTCTCGCAAATCTTGCCGCTTTCGCCTTCTCGATGCTCTCGCGAATCCTACCGGATGGAGCCAGCGTAGTACTCCGGCGAGCACAGCTGCCAGTCGCGCACCTGGTCCGCTCTTCGAGTTTGGTTCGGTAAAACCTACGAAATGCACGACGAACCGCTGCAAGCTCTCGCGATTCGTCGTATGCTTCTTACGACCGCGGACCTCACCGTTTCGCATTCGATTCGCTCTCGTAACCTCTACGATACGGAAGCGACCGCAAAGTTATGGGCAGATCTTGCAACCAACCACCTAACTTTCATGTGACAGGGTCACGTATGGTGGGTGAATATGCTTGTATAGATATCAAAAGTTTCAAAAGCATCAAGGGCTTCAAAAACTCGGAGAATGCCACCGCCCCCCCCCCCCCCTTCTCCTCCTTTGGTGCGTTGTGGTCCGCCCCGTCATGTTGTGATGACAGGCAAGGAACGACGCGTCGTCATTCAAAGGCCAGCGGCGCGCGTCGAGGATCTCCAGCTACCGCTTCTTTCTGCATGTCATACGTATTCCAGCTACTTGCGCTCGATCCCTTTCGCCTCCTCATCCTTACGCGGAAAAATCTGTCGCGCTGCGTGCTATGTAAAGCTACACTAGTGCGGTAAGGTATTTAATTACAATGCATTATGACGAAACGTGCCTTCCATACCATTTGTAGGCTTAGGTATTGTCCGCTCGGGAAACTATATGCTTCATGGTTCCCTTGGCCTACTTGTAATACTTTTCGTAAGCATCGAGCGTAACGCTTTTCGAATTAAATTAGGATATTAAACACAGTCTGTGTAACGACTTAAGGGCATTCGGAAGTTCAAGACAGTCGTAAGGGTATCATGCTGTCAGTGCCTTCCAAAATTTCGTGGTAGAACAAATACACACACAATACGATTTGATAATGACTCTTTATTGTTAGACTTCAATGATTAATTAGGCACGTTTGCCGAGGGTGTAGGTAAGTGGAGCGTTACCCAGAGAGTAAGCCACCGGAGAGGCATGCTGAGCGTACACGACTGGCGCAGCTTGTTGAGCGTAGGCTACCGGACCAGCGTGCACAGCATGCAGAGCCACAGGGGAGGCATGGACAGCCTGGAAAGCCACTGGGGCTGGATGAACAGCTTTCAAAAGAACTGGAGCTGGGCCAACAGCCTTTACAACCACTGAGGCTGGGCGTACAGCCTTCACAGACACAGGATGTGGGCCTTCAACGGCGGCGGAGACGGTTGTGGCGTCGGCTGGCTCAGAAGTTTTGGTGCCTGGTTCGTTGGTGTTGACCGTGGCGCGAAAACCAGCAGCGTCGGCGACGTAGTTGACAGTACGATAGACACCAGCGGCGTCCGTGTAGCTGTAGGAGCCAACCTTGCCATTGAACTCGTCACCGGTTTCTTGGCGTGTCAGACGTGTACCAAACTCATCAGTGTTGTCGAAGGCGAAATTGTAGGGTTGAGGAGGCTATAGAAAATAAACACATCAGTAAATAAATAAGACATGGGGAATGCAAATTAGCTATAACTTATTTCCCGTAATATATTTTCAACGAAATATAACTATATTTTATATTTTATGGAAATACTGTCATGTCATGTTAAACGGACTTTTTAAATATGGGTGTCCCGCTGTATAGACAACATGTATGTGGGTGAACATGTTTTTTGTCTCTTTATTACCACCAACTCTCATGAAGAAGCCAAAGTTAGGGTGCAGGCGAGCTTGTTAAGATCTGACATTTTAAACCCTGGAAAGGGGAGAAACTGTGAGATGAGACTCCACGAATCCTCAATTTTAGATATCTGAGTTGTCCTCTCCTTTTATTTTTTCGCTCTCCTGGGTTAAAAATGTCACATTATGAACTCTTTTTTTTGAGGTAAGGGCAATGCCCATATTGAGGAGACATGACAATATCTTTATAGGAAAAATTACTGCTACGTTTTGTGCTTTAGTAGGCGTATTCGTTTAAACTCGCGGGACGGTATTAAGAATGTAAGGTCCAAATGTACTTAAAATTCGGAGAAAAACAATTTGAGGGAAACATATCGAGCAATATATGGCTTTCAACGCCGCATATTGTGAACAACGAATGTTGATGTGATCCGTCCGTATTCAAACGTGTTCCTGTTGGAATCGCACCAATAGTATACTTCAAAGGCCGGCAAAATGGCCTGGAACAAGAAAGTAGAAAAAATGCCAAACGGTATGTCGAGTGTGCGGCTAGCCTCTGGAAAGGGTGGTTTACATGGGGTGCAGCAAACGTCTGTCCAATGCGGAACTGTGAATATCCTGTCCATGAGTGATGCCAAAAACACACCTAGCGACTTTTATTTTCTTATTATCTACAGCCTGGTTATGCCAGCCTGTATGTTTACTTACTGAATGTCGCTTTAAGTTAAGGAGTCGGATGAGCTCTGTTAATGCACTGTCCGTGGCATTATACATCAGTTAATTTTATTGCTAGCTGAAAGGGGTGAAATACCGCATGTGGTGCCCTCGGTAGGCTGTAGTATAAAACAGACTGCAACATTGCGACATAGGAAATTTCAAAGTCTATTCTCATCTCTTTTTAGCAGCTTAAAGTACCCGTTGTTTCTCGTATGGCTTTTGTGCGCCCGGCCTGAACGCAGCGGCCAGCACATAATTCCGCACAATATGTATCTTTATTTTAAAACTATACCTTGCATAACTAATAAGAAATGATGTCAGTACTCACGTTGTTCTCCACAGCAACTTGAGCAGCTACGTAGGCAGCCAGGCAACACAAAAGAGCCTAAAATACGGAAATATAGGGCTGAAACAATCCGTGCCACATGCGTAGGAGACATTTGAGGAGAAACACGTACTGTGACTCTAGAAAACTGAGGCTCTAATCTGGACGCTTGGAGAAAAAGTCGGCTAGGAATTCGGCGGCCGTAATTGGCTGGCGCCTCGCTTGTCATTGGCGCCGGGCAATCACGGCGGTCGCATTTTTCGCCGACTTTTTTGAAAGTGCCTAGATTAGAGCACCTGGACAACCATGGTGGATGTTGGACTATCCATAGAAATTATAGACTATCGAAACAAAGAAACACAATATGAGGCAATGATTAAACTTTTAAAATAATTACTAATTGATGATGTTATTCTAGTTTCATACAATTTAGAACAGATTCTTTTATAATTCAGACGCTTTAGCTGAGTGTCGGCAACAGAAAACTCTCAGGAACAACTCATCACCTTAGAGAACATGTTGGGGTCTGCTCGCTTTGGTAAGGAGTAGAAGTAATGATGCAGTGCCATTCCCGAGCTGCTTTTATACTTCTCTGAAACTCTAAAAAATGAACAAGAACGACAAGCTTGTATATATGCACATCAGGAAAGAGGCGATGTGTTCTGAGTACCCGGCCATTGCTTAAGCGCTTAACTAGAACTAAACTGAAAGAATGCTGGAATTTCACATATGGTGAATGCCCGATTCTTTTTTTATACACCTATGGTGCTGTCAATATCAAAGCTTTCAAGTTATATGAGGGCATATTTAAGTCAGTGTGTCGCAATTCACGCGGTTGCATTGAATTCAAATTTTAAGGTATAAAATCAGGAATGTTTGACGCTTATAAATAGCTTTTCTATTTCCAAACGTTTGCCTCTTGGTCCACATATTGGTTTTTCAAAATATATACGTATAACCCAAACATTGATATTCACGGCACGATTGTATATTACGAATATATACTTTACTCTAGTAAAACAACCGTCGCTGCTTCGTAAGACTACTCGCGTATTTTGCACGTGCCTTCCTTGCTTGCGAAAATTGTAATCAAGGAGTGCAGGTCTGTGGCCCGCAATACATGTTATGAATCTCTTAACGTGGTAATTGATTATTGCTGTTTGTATCGTCTTTTATTTCCACGTGGGTTTCCGAAATATTCTTCGATAATGATATATGGACAAGCCATTGCATGTCTTGGAGCGCAAATATTCCTCAAGGTGCAGTAGACATTGACCAATTGTCGCAACTGACTATTTATGATCACCAATTGCAAGAAATTTTACAAAGCAAACAACGAATTCTGTATGTTGACCTATACCAATAAACAAAATTGAAACAACCACAGAATGTGCGCTGCAACTTCAGCAGCAGCTGTGTCGATGTCAGAGGTTGTGCTTTAGGAGATTTTCTTTCAGTCAATTTAGGAGTTTGCATTTAGTAGAAGAGTTGTAGATGTGCTTTAGAAGACGTCCTGTTTTGCAAAACGCTTTTACAAGATGTTCTTTTGGCAAGGATATGACACTGAGAGCTTTTCTTTGGTTAAGATTTTGTTATAAAACGTGGTCTTCGATAATTGCTTTTAGAGTACACGCCAAAGAATCTTCGAGAACCCAGATGTAGCGGTGGCAGCGTTTGCCGATTTAGAACTGCTTCTGTTGGGTAGCTTCGAGGGGGGGGGGGGGGGGGTGAAGTTTGATGGCGTTAAAGAAAGAGCAATAGCGCGACGGCAATATGGCGCACCATAGCAATGTAGGTTTTTATGTCCAGACGCCGCGGGATTTGCCGGAAAGGGTAACTACCTGCTACCGCCGTAAAATTGCACTATTGTCTTGAATGTCCTACAAAATAGCTCTCCAGCCAAAACAAACCTTGGTGGAACATTTTTCTATTTGTGTGCCTTTCAGTGGACAAAACAGGAGGTTAATATTTGCTCTCATAACGTATAATATAAAATTAAAAAAAAAATAAAGCCGTTTACAACTCCCTGTAACGCCGAATTAGAGCGCAGCTCTTGTGGAGGAGGAGGGGAAAGTACGGGGAAGGGGCTATGCCCCTCTTCTTCTTCTGCTCGCCCCCATTTAAGGAAAAAGTTTGCGCTAAATTTAGCTAAAAAAATTTTAGCGAAAACATTTTTCCATTATATTTAGCGGGGAAAGAGTTTCCGCTAGATTTAGCTGGAAATTTTTTTCGCTAAATTTAGCGGGGAAAATTTCCGCTAAACCTAGCGGGAAACTTTTTCCGCTAGATTTAGCGGAGAATTTGTTCCGCTAAATTTAGCGGGGAACATTTTCCGCCAGATTTAGCGGGGAAATCCTTACCCTGAATTTAGCGGGGGAAATTTTCCGCTAAATTTAGCGGGGAAATTTACCCATCATGCATCGCGCAGTTACGGCGACGCCGGCGGCGACGGCGACGGCGACGCCGCTCAAGCCGGGAACGGGCGCCTAAGAGCTGTACTCTAAAATAATGAGCTCTAAAATAATGAAGAATTAAGCCACCAGTCAGTAGTGCTTATAAGCTGCAGCGGATTTAGAATCTTTGTCGATCCTAATGGCAGGTTTTCATTTTCTAGATTGAAGTAGAAGCTTGTGAGATGTCATCACTATGCTCGTTTTCAATTTCTGTAATTACAAAGATGATGTATCGAAAAACCGGCAGAGTTATTCCGTTTTTCCCCTGCCTTTTTCCACCCACTTTCACTGTAAATGGCTAATAACATTTCTGCTATTATCAAACTAAGCATAAATGGCTGTGTCTTGTGACGGGAAAAAGTTGCTTTGTGATCACATAGGTCCGATTAACTAACGTACAAAAACTGATGAATTCCCGGTTGTGACATGTAGATGTGACAGTAATTGCCATGAACACTGAAAGCTTTCAGACGTCCCATGTACTTAAAAAAACACTAAAGATAGACATCACAGCCATAAAACTCCTTTGTTATAGCAGTCTTCTGAAGACCTAGACTTTATTATTCCAGAGTCGTCTCGTTGCCTCACAGAAATTATGATAGTAATAAGCTTTAAAACTACACAGCGCAAGCTACTATTTTTAATAAATAGACGCGTATGGAGTCATGATTCGAGACTGCCATAAAAGCTTGTCTTATAGCCACAAACATAAAGGAAACAACATAAGGCTGGTTCTCACACTTGCGACCGCTTAGGCGCTTAGGAATTTGAAGCCTCTTAACATTTCTTAAGACGAGTTAACACAATGGCGCCATCTATCGGGTAGTCGGAAACACGTGACATTACCGTATTTTTGTTTCGTGCTTCATTCTTTTGTTTTTGGGCTTGAAAAGTTTTTGACAATGTTGTAAACCACCATTTCTTAAATATAATCCGTGTGTATTATCTTGAAAACACCGTAAGACATTTGCTCTAGTGTTCTATTCTCGTTTAAGATCACAAGAACGAGGTCGTAAGCAAACGCAGTGTGTGAAACCGGACCTTTAAGCTTAAATGCTTGAATATCCTATTTGAAGGTTCCTTTAAAATTGCCAACTTCTAAATATGTTTCATTTTCTGGTAGCAGCTTTAGAAGAGATATGTCACAGTAGACCATTATCTAAATACTCATCGCCTATTCTATTTCTTTTATGTGTCTTCCTTTCTCTTGCATGTCTCAGGTTAAGCTGTGTCATGCTTTCACCAGCTCGCCCGCGTGCTAAAAGGGGCCCTTCGGAGCGTTCTGCGATGGTCTGTTTATGGCGGTAACTCAATCTACAGGCCCTAAGGATCCTAAAAATCATAAAATTACGGTCATGCGCGGCGGATTTCCCTATTAAAATTGCTATCAAACTCCCCGGCACGCCCCCCTTTCTGAGATGACCCCGGAAAACGGGAGGGGCATCTCTTTACGCGTCAGCCAATAGCAAGCGAAGGATTCCGGCGTCACTGCGCGTCACCAACGCGGCCGACCGCCGACCCGCGGAGGAATCTCTCGAACACGCGCGGATCGTCGTCAAGGGACCCGGACTTTGTGCTCCGCGGTCGTCGTTCGTCGCACCGCACCGTCGCGCTACTACTACAATACGCAGTCGCATTCCACAGATGCCAAGGAAAAGTTTGACTCGTTGACGTGGAAGGACCGCAAAGCTGGCTTCGGAGTCGGGATCCACGGGAAGAAGGAACACGTGTCCCGCAAACGCACGCCTGCAGACGCCCCGGGAAGCAGACGAGCCGACGCGCCGACGCATCACCCTTTAGCAACAAGCTTGTGGGGAGAAAACATAGTTCGCTGGTTTTGGAGCGATAATTGCGGACTATGTTTCCCGCACCACAATCAGTTTGCGTTTTTCTCAAACTCTAATTTACAACAAGCTTAAAAAGTGTTGCAATAATAACGTTCGCATTCACCGCGAGATGCAGCATTTCCATTGGTCAAGTTTTTGCGATGGGCAGGGAATGGGGGATTGTCTTCCGAGAGAAAATAGTCCCGATATATTTCTACTGCCATCTGCTTAATAAACGGTTTTGTAATCTAAAACTTGCATCTACAACGCAATATAAAAACATAGACGGACGATCGCAGAAAGCTCCGGAGGGCCCCTTTAAAGGCGCCCTGCAACGACTTTTTGCTGTGTTTTTTTTTATTTGCACCAAACCTCAGCGCACTAGCCGTAGTAACTTCATAAACTTTTTCTTTTCTCGAAATTCGCTTTAGTTTCAAAGTTACAGGTATAATAAAGTTACAAAAACAAGGAAAAAATAACCTCCTTCATGACGTTCCGGGTCCTCTGCGGGTCTTTTCCCGCGCCCTGGGACAGCGGTGACTGAGGAATGAGGGGAGGGAGGGGAAGACAGAGAAAAGAGGTGAGGCTGAGGACAGAGAGTTGCCCGGGAACGGCGTAGCGCCCTTTTTTGGGCTGACCAGGACCAACAACGTCACGATTTCGTCACATGCCGCTCGCGTTCTACATCACGGGGCGCCACCATAGGAGGAGGAGATTTCAACGTCGTCCGGTTAAAATACGACGCACTGATATACAGTTACTCAGTGTGTAACGGAGATATCGGGTTGCCGACCCATATCACTTTGGCTCGGAATACTAGAATGCTTGGCGCTGGTGAGATTGGTGAAAGTACTTCGAAAACTCGGACACCGCGTGCCGACCCTTTCGACTCGCCCAGCCCTGGATACCTTGAAGATGTGCCCCGTGTGTGCGTCCCTTGCACTGGACTTCTGGACAAGACTCTAGGACATTTCCAAAGGATCTCAGTCCTTCCTCGGCTCAGTCCACTTTCCTTCAACCGCGGTTTGTCGCTCCTCGTGCCCCGCTCGTCGGCTTTGGCGAAAAACAACCCTCCTCTCTTTTTCACAATGTTCTCTTCTATCAGCTGTTATCCCTTCAATCCCCCCCATCCAACGATAACCGTTCGGCCAGTGGCTGTAACTCCAACTTTGGTTTTTCCTCTTTTGCAAGACTTTTCTCTCTCGCTCTCTCTTTAGGGTGATTCCACGTCAATTCATG